CTCACGGTAAACAGATCACCAGGCGTTCTGCGGGACCTATTGCCTGATGCAGTGTGGTGTCCTGCCTCTCAAAATTGGCGGGACAGAGCCGAAAGTACTCCTTGTGGCCATCCTCATCCAGCTGAAGCTCCTGAATTAAAGAATGGAACTCTCCCCGCTCATTCCGAGTCAGTAGAACAGGGTGAACCCACAGCCTTCTCCTTTCCAGACGCTTTCGACGCCGTCACAAAAGACACAGTATAAGCACATAGGAATGTTGATATTCTCTGTATTCTTATATTTGGTACCTTGGCATTAATAAAAAAAAAAGAAGAAAAAAAGCACATCGGAATCCATGTTGTGATAACTGAGGGGAAACCTTGGCGCGTGATGTCATATCCTGCTCCCGCCCATATTCCCAGCAGTGTCCGAAAAAATTTCGCACGTTCAAAGTCTAGTGTGACCGCCCCTTTACACTCTATGTGTGGCGGCACTTCCCCTGGGGGAAATATATATGTATATAATGTAAATATAAAACAGCAGAGGGGCTTATTGAAAGTGCAAATTCATTCTCTAGTAACGGCTGTAATCAAAACAGCGCTGCGCTCATGAACGCTACTTTATCAGGCATTATAGTAAATATTAAATTAAAATGACATCAAAACTTTTCTGAAGACTACCGGTTCCCTTCAAAAAAGATACATTTATATAAAAACACCTGTGCCGCGTTTTGATTTTGAAACGTGCAGAGCTCATGTTTATTCAACGAAGTCAACGCATTTTGCAAAATCTATTTGTGGCGGTCAGTGTTGATATTGTGGCGGGCCACCACAAATAAGTCAATGTATGGGAAACCCTGGAACACATATTGTGAATTAATTTGATACACTTAGTTACCAAGATTTCCAGGAAATTATGATGTGTGAAACAGTTGATCCTGTGTTTACTTTCTTCACTGACAGACTAGAATGAAAACACTATTATCAAAGCTCAGTTTTAGATGGGGAAGAGACAGGGCAAGATAAGGAGACTCAGAGAAAAACAAAAAGTGATGGAGTTGAGGAGAGAGCAGGTACTGACAAATACAGTGGGTACGGAAAGTATTCAGACCCCCTTCAATTTTTCACTCTTTGTTATATTGCAGCCATTTGCTAAAATCATTTAAGTTAATTTTTTTTCTGAAGGGGGTCTGAATAGTTTCCGTACCCACTGTAATTTGCCCACATGGTTTTAGGTCAGAGAAATCAAAATTTTTCTTGGGTGGCTTACATTTGGGACCTCTAATTATAAAACCCAGTGCCTACTAGGGCTGGGCGATATGTCAAAAATATCGTATTGCTAATCGCCTTTAAAAATACCGCGATATCCGATAATATCGTCTACCCAAGCCCCACCTCCACTACGCCCCACCCCCACCGAGACAACATTGCCGGCATTCACCATAAACACACACCAGGTTCAGTTTGGTCTTAATTATTGCCACATTAAAGTTTATTTTTACTTTTCTTAGTTTGTGCTTAAACTAACAAAAAACATTAGCTTTGCTGTTGGTGTTGCTAATTTCCACTCTGTTCTTATAAAAATTTGTGTTTGAAATGAATTTCGTTTTGTGAGGAGAACTGTTGAGGAAAAATAATAGAACCCAATTTTAAGTTCATCATTTCATGATGGTAAGTTTAATTTCCTTGATTATAACAATTGTAGCGTTGTTTTTAAACTTGTAGTCAAGCTATAACGTAGGCTATTTGTTATTTATCATACATGACTAAAATCATGGATTAAAAACGAATTCTGAGCAAAAACGTTAAGGTTTTTTTTTTTTCCTTTCTGGTAGCCTAGTTCGGAGGTCTCTTTTGGCCCGTTTTTAACGAAATAAAAATAACTGCTTTATTTATTTAGAAGCAGGGTAATTTAAATTTCATTTTTGTATTTTAATTTTTTATAATTTTTATTTTATGAATCAAAATACAACGGCCACAACATAATATACAGTATTGGGCTGCCGAAACTCCGAACGCGTGCGTGTTGAGGGGTGAGCTGAGATATAGGCCGATAATGTCTTCATCCGTTTGCGCTAATGAATTAAGAATTTATAGTGCTATATCTCAGCTTAATTAATCATAATTATACTGTATACACTGTTTAAAAAATCTGTAAAAATAGGGCACTATGTGCGCTGTATAAATTATTTTAATTATAACTCATGTTTGTTTTCATCATTATACAGGCTGTTTAAATAAATATTCAGAAACACATGCAGTGCTACTATTTGTCTTTTTTTTCTGTTTAACTTTTATTAAACTGCAGATCAAAATAGAAAAGGCCTATACGCTAAATAAGAATAAATTATATTGGAACGCATCTCCAAAATAATCACATACATTGATGCACGTTGCCATTACAGTAGTCAGCGCCGAACAACAGGCAAATATAAATATAAACTGAGGTTACAAAAGTGATTCAGTCAAGATCAGTGAGGGATTTTCTTTTCTTTTGTTCTTTGATTAACATAATGACTGGCGGCAGTGGCTGCTGTCAATGCACGGATCCATACACCCTTGTTTTCTTTCTCAACTCTTTGTGTTCACTTAAGACAGAACTGATTGTATTTAAGGGATATTTTGATATAATTGTGTGTATTTGTCCATTCGAATGTGTAAGAATGCGAGAAAGAGCTCAGTCCAGTGTTCGCGTATATAAGAGTTTTGTGCGTGTGCTTTGTGTGTGCATTTGTGCAGCACAGAAAACAGCGCGCGAGTGCAGAAGCGAGTTATATTTCGTCTTCTTGCAGTTGAATCTTTTAAATTACAATAAATGCGCATACAGAAATCGAGACGCAGAATCGAAATTTAATTTTATAAGAAGTAATACGATTCCCAACACTCCTACTAAATTGTTTCATTCTTGCATGCAAAAAGACCTGTATGGTTACTATGGGCCTATGTAAAATATTTTTTTGCAGCATACTAGGTTTATCATTTGTCATTTTTTTCCGATAATGTCGATAATCGTCTGTTACCTGACTGTTGACATCGACATCGCGATACTTACGAGACATCGTCAATATACAATAATATCGTCATATCACCCAGCCCTAGTGCCTACAGGTGTCTTAGTTACACCAACTGTGGTAATATAACACAGTTTGTCAAAATATTTAAAAAATGTAACCCTAGTTCTTTAGTAATTTTGTGCATATATAGCCTAGGTATACTCTGACTCCTCTTTAATTGATGTACTTAATTTATTTGTTTATTCACAAAGTTATTTATTATTTAACCTGCTCAATGTTATTATCACGGGAAATTTTAACCATTTTCCATCATTTTGCAATTAGGGGTGGGAATCGCAGGGTACCTCACGATATGATACAAATCACGATACATGGCTCACGATACGATAATATCACAAATACAGCAATTCTGCGATAATCGATATATATTTATTGCTAGACAATCCCATTACGATACATCACGATATCTGTCTAACTATGAAAACAAAATGCTTGTGAAAAGGTTAAGTGCAAGTTTTCTCTCTTTATTCAAGTCCAAACTGATAGAAAACAGCACAAAAAGTTCTGTAAATCAAATTTAACATGTTAAGTAAATTAATCGTTTTATTTTTGGACTTATTAAAAGCTTACAAATTTCTTTGTGTGTAAAACAACACATTTAACTGCTTATCAACTTTATATAGGCTATAAATATATATATATATATATATATATATAGTATATAAACCTGGTACATTTCAAAATGTACCTGGAGTGTTTTCTCAACCTTTCCTCTCCTCATCATAAAGTCGGAGCCCCGCACAATCACATGACATAGCAGCTCACATCGCGTCTTTTGTGCGCTCAAGTTTGTTATTTCAAATGAAGACGCGCAGCAAGCACACACACTGCACACTTCTGTGCTGCATTACGGCTCTGACAAGGTTTTGTTTTGTCGTCCATGCCATAGGTGCAGATTTATGTTTCTGCCGGTCGGTGCCCACTGCCCACACTGCATAACGCGCACTTGTAATATCTAAAGAGAGAGAGAGCATCCAGTTTTTTGTTTTGTTTTTTTGCGATCAAATGTTTATTAAAAGGAAAAGAACAACAAAATATTACAAGGCATTTCAAAATCACAACAAAACGGTCAAAAGAAAATGGGTAAATATACATAAATATATATACATATACACACGCATATACAGATACATATAAATAAAATATACACACACATACATACATATACAATATACACATATGGAGAAAAAATAAATAAAAATAATAAAGTTAAAATTTAAAAATTTTAAAAGTAATAAAGAGTTACTCAAGTTCAGGAGCTCAAATTAATTAGTAAACAAAATTAAATCAGGTTAAAAAAAAGAGATCATCTCAACCAGGCTTTCAGTGACTCAGCAACAGTGTTCCAACTACAGAGAGTCTTTTAATTTGCACCATTAACTCGAGCAGTAGACAGTTCTAGAAAAATCACATCCAAAAATGTAAGAATCCAACATTTAACAGAAAGTAAATGAGGAGGTTTCCATCTCAATGCAATCATCTTTTTAGCAGCTGTAAGGCCAGCTAGTACTGTGTGCTTATGCTGATTATTAATGTCCAACATTGTTAACTTATTCAATAACAAAACCGTTACGGGTACCGTTGCTGAAACCAGATCAGACAATCTGGATGCTACCTCAGTCCAAAGCATCCAGTTTTGTTGACATAAAACTGGACGCGACGGCGGCACTCTCGCACTCATATAGTGAGGGAAAACCACCTGCGATCCGAGTGGAGAGGTTAGGCTACTCACGGACTCAATATGCGCTCTGCAATGATAACGTGATCGATACCGTCCATGCTGATAGCTGTTCCGGGGCAGTTTTTTAGGTCTCATCTCCATAAACATAAGACGCCGGTGCATCTCTGATTTGTTGTTGGTCTATAATCAGGGGCCAAGCACCGAAGGTGCAGTGGCACCTATTGTATCCGTTAGCGTCATTTTTCTTCTTCCGCCGCAAGTCTATGGCAGCCCATAGAACCGCTTGTGTGAAAGTTGTGAAATTTGGCACACTGATAGAGGACAGTTTCAACATTAAACACAGCAAGTTTGGAGTCTCTAACTCCAACTCTCATACGCCACCACTTGTCCAAAGTTGCAATTTCTTTATGCTAATAACTTTTGAACTATAAGGCACAAAATGAAAATCGAATGAAGACCAAAATTCAAAAATCGCAAGGTTTAGTTTTTTCGCTATTTTTAATTGTTCGCAAAACCTACTTTTTCGAACTCGTCCTATTATGGATTTTGTGTCGATAGACGAAACCGTTTTGGTACAGCGCTGCTACAAATTTTAGGTATGGTGCCAAAATGACTGAGGCTATATCTCTTCAAAGCTTTGACATAATGACAACAAACCTTGTATGTGCCATTGTCACCTCACACAGAACACACCAAAACGATTTGATTGCAGCGCCACCTGTTGGTCAAAACTGATAAGCCATTTAATCATATTACTAGTGGTTGTATTTATGATTTTTCAGCCATTTCAATTACAATCATCCTAAAATTGCTTTTATTACTCATTGTTGCATTTGGTCTGATGCTCCATGCCATGCTTAGCTCCTCAATTTGCCTCTGGAGTGCTTGGCCCCGTGATTGCTGCTTGCAGCTATATTTACACTCGTATTTCTTCTTCGCTGTGAATTACAATTTCGGTTCATCTGACCATCCGCAATCTGGGAAGCGCCACCACAAGAAGTCTGGAGGTACTGCCGCTCCGGTAAGCCAAAGTGGTAAACAGCCACAGTGTAGGTATGAATTTAGACCTTTTGTACGTTTAAAAAAATATCGATACTTGGTGCCAGAGTATTGATAACGTCTAGCGGCTGGAAATATCGCGATAAATCGGCACATCGATGTATTGTCCCACCCCTAATAATTAAGCTCATTGGTATATTAATAGATGTATACCGATTCTCTGACTGGACAAGAGGCTTTCAGTGTTGTTGGCATTTCAGCAGTATGAGTACAGGGAATTGTCTCTGCTCATTTTACACAGGATGTCAGTCAGTGCGGTTACATTATTGTGCCAGGAGATGGTGGCAAGGCACTGTCTTTAACAGTGAGTCATCTAATAGGTTTAAAAACGCTTCATTCATGAATGAAACGAGGTGTTGAAATCAATTTAGCTTTGAGCGCCACTTTACAAGGCTTAATCGATGATCAACGCGTTACCTGGGTAATGCTGAAGCTGGTGTTTCACTTCATAGAGACCAATGCCATTGATTCAATGCATTGAACAGCGCTAATTCCATTCATGGGAAATCCCCTTAAATGCTGAAATGATGCTGTGACAAAGATATCGCTTTCATCTTCTGATAACTGATGGCAAACTGATTGTTTTCCCCCACAAATATATGACCTGACCTGAAGGACTCTGGCAGGTAATCGCGCATGCTCAGATGATCGCCCTCTCTCTCTCACTCTCTCTTCTCCTTTTAGTGCAAATCTACGGAATCTAAATCACAATGGTACACAGGGTCTTAATGACATAAGAAAAGAGCCAGCTGGTGTAAAAATATTACTCTTCATTTTTGTTATGATATTAAATTACTGAACATTCAATACACATGCATTAAGTGTAAAACAAGAAGGGCACTGTCTCATGAAGAAAAAAGCTTGCCCTTTTTGTTTCTGCTGATGACTCAGGGTTCCCACCACACATATTTAGTAATCTGTCTACGTGTTCAGCACACCATGGGACCCGTTACAGATTCTTGGCATATATTTCTGTTTTTTGCTGATTAAACCAAATGTTCTCATGTTCTCAAAACTGTAATGCTGCAGTGACCTCTGCTGGAAATGATAAGGATTACACTGCCAATTATTAATAAACAATAGTAAAATAATTTGATGGTTTTCCAGTTTTGTTCATATTAAAGGACAACCTGTATCATCTTCTGTTACCACACAGAGACTCTCAGAGAGAAAACTGAGGCAACTTCCTCCAAATTACATTAGAGTTGTACTAGCATATGTTTTAGACTATTGTGAAAAACAAATGGAGTCTTTTGTTTTATGATAAGATTTATGACAACACCTGTGTCATGTCTGTGATCATCAAAAAATGACTGAACATTTTTGATAGTTCTTTAAATCCTTTAACACTTAACCTACACTGTTTTTTTTTATTCATTCTAGTTTGATCCTCCCTAAACTAGTGGCAGCTGAGACCACCGTATTCTTTGAGACTTCAGATACGCTCAACTGCTTACATAACAGGCTGTTTTCAATGAGACGGTTGCCAGGGAAAGCTGCTCTAACTATTAGGAACAGAAAATCGTTTTGGCATTTTTGAACACTGAGGGCTTGAGACCATCTTCAGTTTAAAGGTAAGATTTATATTTGTGTCACAAGTGTCAAGCTTGCAGCATATGTTTATATGCTGCACATCCATGCCAAACATTTTGAATGATTCCTGGAAAACCTTAACCTCAAAGGTGCTTGTCACAACTGAGGAAACACTAGTGGAATAGTATGTTTTTATAACCATGTGTATTTTCACCATTTGTTTTCTTGAAGTGATCGTTCCATGTTTCCTGTGCAGACTCACAGCATGGCTAAGCGTGTGGCTGTGATTGGAGCAGGCAGCTCTGGACTGACCTCCATCAAATGCTGCTTGGATGAAGGGCTGGAGCCGTAAGATTTATATTTGTGTCACAAGTGTAAAGCTTGCAGCATATGTTTATATGCTGCACATCCATGCCAAACATTTTGAATGATTCCTGGAAAATCTTAACCTCAAAGGTGCTTGTCACAACTGAGGAAACACTAGTGGAATAGTATGTTTTTATAACCATGTGTATTTTCACCATTTGTTTTCTTGAAGTGATCGTTCCATGTTTCCTGTGCAGACTCACAGCATGGCTAAGCGTGTGGCTGTGATTGGAGCAGGCAGCTCTGGACTGACCTCCATCAAATGCTGCTTGGATGAAGGGCTGGAGCCTGTGTGTTTTGAGAGCAGTGATGATATTGGAGGACTCTGGAAGTTTAAGGTTGAAAATGAATTCAATTCAGCTTAACAATAAAGGCGAAGTGTGTCATTGCTGTGCCATACATGGTACCAAAATGAATTGGAAAAGGACTGATATAATGATAATTGACAAGAATGATTTTTAACACACTGTAATCTAAGCAATACAAGATCAGGTGCCAGAAGCCCTTGGCTTAATAATTTATACACTACCATTTTAATACAATAATATTCGTAACATTTTGGGGTAGATAATGTTTTTGAAAGAAGTCTCTTATGCTCACCAAGGCTGCATTTATTTAATAACAAACACAGTAAAAATAGTAATATTGTGAAATGTTATGACTATTTAAAATAACTATAATATACCATTTAAAATAACTTTCTAATATATTAAAATATATTCCTGTGAAGGCAAAGCTGAATTTTCAGCAGCCATTATTCCAGTCTTCAGTGTCATACTGATATTTTTGTGGAAACCATGGTACATTTTTTCAAGATTCTTTGATGAATAAAAAGTTGAAAAACAGCATTTATTTAAAAGATAAATCTTTTGTAAAATTCTAAATTTGTTTACTGTCACTTTTGATCTAAATAATTTTATTTAGATCAACTCCAAATTTTTGAACGGTGTAAATTAAATAACTCATAAAGTTATTGTTGCACCATCTTCTTTTTATTGTCATTTCTTGTTAGTTTGTTTTTCCTAAATATATTTATGTTATGACCTTTGTAATTTGCATTTTCTGTATGGCAGAAAATACACAAATTAAACTGCATTATTATTATTATTATGTCTTTAAAGGTTTCCCAAACACTCCCACCAACTGCCATTGGTCAGCAAACAGATAGCCCCGCCTCAAAACTCACAGTATTAGATGAGTTGGTTTTGTTTACACTTTTGGGGGCAAAAATGCTTCAAATGGCTTATGTATTATTGCTGCATATTACGATGAGATAAGAGAGAGTATTTTAACATTAAACAATATTACACACTTCACATTTAAACAACACTTTTAAAGCTAATTATGCTTTATCTATTAGTGTGTTCAAAGTCATTGACTGTGTTTCCCTTTACATGCACAGGAACAACCAGAGGCAGACCGTTGCAGCATTTATCGTTCTGTCATAGTGAACACCTCTAAAGAGATGATGTGCTATAGTGATTTCCCTATGCCGGATCATTTCCCCAACTTCGTGAACAACTCTACGATAATGCAGTACTTCAGACTCTACGCTGAGCACTTCAGCCTGCTCAAACACATTCACTTTCAGGTAATAAACACTAATTGGGAAAATTATTCTCACATTATTGTGTGTATTATTGTGTGTATTTTCTCAGGATCTATCATATTTTTTGAGTATTCTCTTTATAAAGATGAGAGGTAGCATTCAGGCTCTATGTGGCTTGTGTGTGTATTTCAGACCACAGTTCGTAGTGTGAGACAAAGACCTGATTTCTCTAACTCTGGTCAGTGGGAAGTGGTGACCGTGGACAGAGATGGACGAGAGGAGACACATGTGTTTGATGGTGTGCTAGTGTGTGCAGGACACTTCACACAGCCCATCAAACCCCTCTCAGACTTCCCAGGTGCTCACCTGATATCACAGCACTCTGTCATCATAATACAGCATTCAACACTGTGTAGAACTAATTCCCTGCATGGCTCCATTAGGGATGCACCGAAATGAAAATTCTTGGCCGAAACCGAACAAAATGGGGTTTTTTTTCCCCATGTATTTTGCCAATTTTTTTCACCATTGCACAAATTAAATAGCCAAAATGTGCTTTTTACTGTTTTGTCTTGCTTTTCAAAGAAAAAAATCTATTATAAAACAACAATTTAAAAGTATTTAACACTGACATTTTTTTTTACATTCTAGCAGACATACCAACAAAGCACAATTTAACTTAAAATGAATAAGTTAGTAAAATAATATTTTTTTGGCCATCAGACCCCCTTCTTGAATCAGGCGTGTATTTTTTACTATACAAATAAAAGCAGCCTTGCTGAGCAGAAGAGCTTTCTTTTAAAACATTAGAAAATATTACAGATCCCAATTTGAACACTATGTGTGAATGTTATAATAAATGTATTAACAGAGCTGTTGAAATTATTATCATTATTATTGTCTTACTTTTTATTTTACAGAACAACAGTAAAATTACAATACTAACATTTATGAGTGTTTATGGAGTTATTGCTTTTTCTCAACTTTTATTTTGGCGGAAACGCGCAGGAAGACCTTAATGCTACTTTTTGCATTGCGCCTCTCACTCTACACTGGTTGCTATTTGATCGCGTCACGTCATTGTTCGGTACAGTTTATTCGGTCTTTTTCGCTTATTCGGCCGAAAGAGCTTTTTTTGCTATTTTCGGCCGAATAATTTTGGTTACCAAACATTCGGTGCATCCCTTGGCTCTATTCATATAATGGATTTAATATGTATTTGGAAACATTCATATATTGTATATCTTTTACTGTAATTTTGTGTGCTGCAGGTATTGACACATTCCCAGGGACAATAATTCACAGTTGGGAATATAAGGACCCTGATCCTTACCTTGGGAAGAGAGTTGTTGTCGTTGGGATTGGAAATTCTGGTGGAGACATTGCCGTGGATCTCAGCAGAGCGTGTGAGAAGGCAAGAGAGATTTAATAGTGCAATATCTAATATAGATCTTTTCTCTGTTTTTAGGTTCTTGGCAGGGTCAAAATCATATGGAGAAATGATTAGTGAATAGCGATTGAATGATAGGTGCTATTTTTAATGACCCAATTGATTATTCACATTAAATAATTAATAATATATATAGCTGCAACCTTCTGACAGCAAAATAAATAAATAATTTTCAAAAGAGGACAAATTAAATGGGTCATATGATGTTGCTAAAAAGAACATTATTTTGTGTATTTGGTGTAATGAAATTTGTTAATGCGGTTTAAGGTTAAAAAACACATTATTTTCCACATACTGTACATTATTGTTTCTCCTCTATGCCCCGCCTTTCTGAAACGCGTCATTTTTACAAAGCTCAACGTTCTGAAAAGCGAGGTGTGCTGTGATTGGCCAGCTATCCAGTGCATTGTGATTGGCCGAATACCTCAAGTGTGAGACGGAAATGTTACGCCGCTCACCATACTGTTGATGCCGTGTACCGGCCGGAGCGACGAGACAAAACCAATAAAACCTATTATAAACGAGGCATTCGTTGCATCCAGTGGGGACATAATTACGGATTATAATGACTTATACTGTCTTTTTACGCATTGCGTTTTATCGCGCCGCGTAAACATAAAACCATGTCTGCATTTGTAATCGGAGAAACGACAAACAACAAGTGCTACTCTACACTGCTCAAAACTCGCGTGAGAAAGGAAAACTTGAAATCGCATCATGATATGACCCCTTTAAGAAAGTAATGGATTATGGTAGAATTGCAAGGTACAATATGTAACCACATTTAAACACTCAACACTATTAAACAATTAAATTTAATAATTAGCATATATTAGCATAATATTAAAATAATTATATGATTAATTCATTCAGCAAACTAGCTAGCTATCTAACAAGAAAAAATGACATTCACCTTCATAATACAGAAGGTATTCCTCATTCAAGAATTTGCCTTTTTCTTTCATTTATTTTTTTCCGTTCTTTTTTATGAATAAGAATAAAAGTTGCTAAAGCCAATTGCTGGTTAATATAACAAAGTAGTAATATAAATATACATTCAATAATGTATATGTAAATAATTTACATTAAACATCCCATGAAATCAATTTTTTATTCAATATTGCAGTTTGTTATGCACCAATTACCAAATGGCAGCGATCCAATCAATTCCAAATGGACAAAGTCAAGTCCCACCCTACTTTTTTTGGTTTGGTTTGTTTGTTTGAGAAGCTGTTTCACTGATTTATGCGTCACAATAGGGGAGAATAGATTATCGCAATTTCAGGCCAACTTTAAAGTTTATACATCTATTCCTGCTAAATCAATGCACAATATGTCATCAAACTCTGTGTCCATATGGCTGATTTTTAACTCCGTTTTACCCCCTCAGTTCTCAATATGTGGTTACTCTCTTGGTTCTCATTAATATTTTCCTATTTTGACAAGCTTAAATTCACTCTCGTCTATCCACTAATTCAGTTTGCTTTGGTCTTCCTATTTCTCACTCTCTTAGACATTCCTGAGTACCCGGAAAGGTGCTTGGGTCATAGGTCGCGTGGTTGATAGAGGGCTTCCTCTTGATATGATAATGATGACGCGAGCTCGAGATCTGTTTTACTGGCTCCTGCCTCGAGCTCTGCTCAACTTGATTTGGGAGAGAAGCCTCAATCAGAGACATGACCACAAGCTGTATGGACTACAGCCTGTGCACAGGTGAAGGGTCAAACCATGATCCTCAAGGACTCTTTCCAAACTCTTTTCATCGTTGATGATTAAAGTAAAGCCCTGACAGTTTAAAAGTGACTCATGATTCACAGTGACCTTTACCCATGTTTTGTGATTCCAGGATCCTCGACCAGCGTGTTGTTATAAACGATGACCTCCCTGGTCGCATTCTGTTAGGGGAACTGGTGATGAAACCAAATGTGCAGAAGTTCCAAGGCTCGACGGTTGTCTTTGATGATGGGACTGTAGAAGAGAAGATTGATGCAGTGATCTTATGCACAGGATATGATTATAGATTCCCCTTCCTCCCCACCTCCTTAAGCTCTGGTTCTGATGGAGATCTGAAACTCTACAGAAGAATCTTCCCTCCATCTCTGGAACGTCCAACACTGGCCATCCTGGGCCTGATTCAGACCAAAGGGCCGATCATGCCAGCTGCAGAGCTTCAGGCACGCTGGGCCACCAGGGTCATTGCAGGTAATGAGCAACCACTCGGGGGGGAAAAAATTATTTTATAGGTGAAGTAAATATAGAGAATCATATGAAACATTATATTTTGATTATGGGTAAAAAAAAAAAAAAAAACTGTTCCTGTTCTTCAAGGACTGAACCATCTTCCTCCAGCTGAAAAGATGGATAAAACAATTGAGAAAGACGTTCAAGCGAATTTAAAGAGGTAATTACTTATTCACCTGAATGATCATTTCAATTTTTTTATTTTGACAGTTAATCGGCTATCTCTCCACAGTTACCCCTGTCCCAAGCTGGCTGCCCTTCAAGTGGACCACATTCCTTACCTAGACGCAATAGCAAAGGAAGTGGGCGTCTGTCCCAACATTGCTTGGCTGCTCCTGAGGGACCCTGCTGTGGGTTTTAGGGTTTTCTTCGGGCCCTGTTCTCCGTACCAGTTTCGACTGAACGGACCGGGGCACTGGAGTGGTGCCCGTCAGGCCATCCTTACCCAGTGGGATCGTGTGGCCAAACCCATGAAGACACGGCCCATTCCAGAAACTTCATCCTTTAGTTTATTTTTTTGGCTGTGCCTGTCAGGGGGGGCTGCAGTGATTTTTGCTTTAATGGCAATGCGAATGATCCCACTGTTTCTGAATAGCGATTAGATCCCATAGATATCCCATACTCAGTTTTTGGATAGCTCTGTTTTGCGTTTGCACTTTAACCTAATTATTCCTTAATCTAATTCTTGGAGTTCATTATCTTTTATAACAAATATAAGAAATTATATTTTAAATCCTTGTCAAACATTGTTTTCAAACAAGTGTATTTTTTGTTCTTATATCTCAAAGCAAGTGTTCTGCCATATTTCCAGACATAATAATTACCTTTTTTTTAAATCCAGGAAATAGTAATATGTTAATATGTTTTGACAATCATCACAGAAGTAAAGTGTCAGCATTTTCATCACTCAACATACTTTGAAATAAAACAGTTGTTGGAGAAGCCTGAGTCTGCCAGGGCTGGCATTTTGTGATTGTGAGATGAGATGATTATTACCATGTCTAAATATCATTTAGATTCACTTTCACACACTCATATATGACAAAATTATTTATAGTAGTGGAAAAATTGAGAAAATAGTCGTAATTATTCACACAGTAAATATTATTCAGCATTTTCACACAATAAATGTAAAATAATACCATGTAACATTTATTATAATTTTCATAGTTTAGGATTAAAAGTGGGACAGAAGTACATTTTAAAAATGATGAAAGCATGGTAAACACTTTTCCAAGTTAGTTTTAATGTGACCTTGACCTTCATATAACAAAAAGAAAAAAGCTGATAAAAATCAAGCCTTGGGGCGTGTAAGTGGCAAAAGAAAACAGGACCTTGCTGTCATATTTTTTTACCGACCGGTCTGCCGGGTTTTTTTTTTTAATACTTTATTAATTCAATGCCACAAGAACATGAGTATTACATATTCACATTATCAAATTAACATTAGCTGCCAGAGAGAGAAAAATAAAAAACTGGTCTCGTTTTTTTTTTTTTTTATTGCATATGAACATATATAACAATAAGAGAAATACAACTTTGCATATAAATGCCATCAGTACACAAGATTACAAGTAAAATAAAAAATTAGCCAGAGGAAGAAAGAAAACATAAAATAAATAAAACAACTAAAATAATGAAGACGGTACAGTTTACTTGTCTATTTCAAATTTGCAGATAATGTTAGAAGTCCTGAGAGCTTTTTTTGTTTTACATTTTTATACCATATTACAGTATTGTTTAAATTCGTTGATAACATTTTTAAAATGTGGTTTACCACCCGACCACTTCATTTTGTGTATATGAAACTTCCCCATTACAACCAGTAATTGAATAATATACGCTTTATCCTTTTCTATCCCATAATCATCAACATATATCATTATATCAGACCCACCCAGTTTAACAACTGTATTAAGTTTTCTTGTAATGAAATTCTCAACATCAACCCAAAATATCTTTGTATAGATGCAATGAAAAAATAAATGAAAAATAGTTTCTTTTTCTTTACTACAAAATTCACAGGAGTAGTCAATATTCAATTTAAAACGTTCCAATATATGTTTCACCGGATAAATTCTATGCAATATTTTATACGAAACTTCCTTTATTTTGTTATTAACAAAGAATTTATCAACCATTCTCCAAGCCTTACGCCAATTTAAGTCTCCAAATATTGATGACCAGAAAAATCTAGCTGGAGGATATGTAACATAATTTACTAAATTTCTAATGTATTTATTTGGTATGTTGTTTTTTAAAATATGAATATTTCCAATAAAAATTGAATTAGTTATATAATCCAGATTAGGGTTTTCATTACATTCATTTTTAAGAAGACATAATACCTTACTGGGTATAGCGTCCATTACAATGGCATATTCTCTGGGTCTAATTGGGATTTTAAATTTGTCAAGAAACTCGGTGTATGATAAAGACCGGTCTGCCGTTATACCTGTTATGTCTATGGTTATACCCAGAGCCATAGAAAGATCTCTCTACGGCTCTGGTTATACCTACTTGGACCAAATCGAGTGACGACAATGAATCCCCGCCCCTTTTACATCGACGTGTACGCAGGGGTGTGGCGTAGTAACACAACAGACCAACATCTGAACTTCTGCGATTACTTGATTCACACTAAGTAAGATGGCACGCCACAAACTTATTAACAACTGCATTGCTGATTGATACAGGCGTACGTGTTTACCTAACATGGCTTTGTTGTTTACTTAAAGATGACAGTTTGTCCAAAGCGGATGCTTTATTTATATTTCTGTATGTTCTTCTTGTCAGCGCTTTTGCAAGTCGATTTCACAAATACATAGACATGCACTAGCGACGACGAAACAGTACTTGAAATCTACTGGTTTGATTTTGATAGTCGAAAACCTTTGATTTGAATGGTCAAAGTTTAAATCATTGCAACTACAAGTTAATGTGCCATTGTGAAATATTACTGCGGTCAAGCCAGCCGCGGTTCAGAAAAACACGGTCAACCCAGGCGGGATTGAAATTGTGCGCGCGTATTACCGTGATTACGGTAATTGCAGGAACACAGAGAGAACGCGCTTTCAGAGCGCTTTTCATTTAGACGCCCATACTATATGCACACCTCATATCGAAACATTTTACAGCAGCGTTTTTGAGATATGGGACAATATGGTGCTTTAGAGGGCTATAACGACCCCATTTCTAATGAGTAGAAAAAACCAATGGTCAGTTCTTATACGGGACGTCCCATACTATATGCACACCTCATATGAAACCATTTTACTTCAGCGTTTTTGAGATATGGGACTATATGGTGCTTTAGAGGACTATAAAGACCCCATTTCTTATAAGCAGAAAAAACCAATGGTTAGTTCTTATACGGGACGTCCCATACTATATGCACACCTCATATGAAACCATTTTACTTCAGCGTTTTTGAGATATGGGACTATATGGTGCTTTAGAGGGCTATAAAGACCCCATTTCT